GGATGCAGCCTTAAAGATTATGGAGAAGTATTGGCTAAAAAGCTCTAGTGCTTCACTAAACTACACATCCCAGGGTTCCATAGGTCATAGCCATGGCAGTTAAAGTGGAACCATAGTGCTGCAGTTGTGCAGTTTTGCCTTAAAAACAGTAGACTATTAAACAGTACAGCAGCCCAGCCTGCTCTTGAAAGGCTTTCTGTTTTAAAAGCCTGTCTGAATAAAAATGCCTTAAAATAAAAATGTGGGTTTCTTTTTTCAGGGTCTCTTCTCCCACCATCCCTTTCTTTCTGGTAATACTGTCCGCTTCTTTTCCAGCCATCTTCCAGATGATCCAGAGCATCCGCCTCGGGGGCTAAAGGGGCATCGTCTCCAGCCGTTCTGACCTCTGCCAACCCTCAGGGAATTGTGGGATGATTTTCTGGACCTCCCAGCTGGCCACCTTTTGAAGCGTTTATGGCCATGACAGTCTTCCTCCTTCCTCCCGGATCTGGATCTCTCCCTTCCGCCAGGATCCTCCCATCCCATCCGGATTCCTCCCGATTCCTCGGCCTCCTCTGTCTGTCTTGAGCCGGGACACTTTCTTTGCAAGAGAAAGAGAGACACCTTGGAGGGAACCAAAGCCTGGCTCGAGCCTTTTTTCATGGAACTCAAAACAGTGTTTTAAAAGGAGCAGGAGGGGAGATTCTCATGAAGCTACAGATATTTTGCAGTGCTTGGGCTATGTATTATGGGAGACACACAAAAGTGTGAAATTTGGGGGTGGCTCCTGCCCCCATCAACTTGTTACAGACCTGCAGTTCACTGCCTCCAATCCTTTTACAGTCACACCGCTGATTAAAAATAAAAAATGTTAATCTTGTTGAAACCTTTGCCACAATCTGACTAAAATCTGAGTTTATAACAAAAAGCTGCCACACAGAGAGTTGTGCGCGTGTATGTGTGAGAGAGAGGTTTTTTTAATCACTTCCTCCTCATTGGAACCCAAATCCCAGAAAACGTATTTGTTTCAGGATTAACCATTCCAGTGGCCATTCTGGCTGGACAATTCTGGGAGCTAGAGAGACAGCGTGGGGTAGTAGTTTGAGCATTGGACTACAGCATTCAGCTCTGGAGGCCAGAGCTTCAAAACCCCTTTGCTCAGCCCTGGAAACCCTCTGGATGGCCTTGGGCAAGTCACAGTCTCTCAGCCTCAGAAGAAGGCAAAAGTTGGGAACAACTTGACAGCACACAGCAACAATGGGCCTTTGCAGACTGCCAGAAATAGTGCAAATTGAGTC